CATCAGAATGACATCAGAACGACATCAGAACGGCATCAGAACGCATCAGAACAGCATCAGAACGCATCACAACAGCATCAGAACAGCATCAGAAGAGCATCATAACAGCATCAGATTGACATCAGAACGGCATCAGAACGCATCAGAACATTATCAGAACGCATCAGAATGGCATCAGAACGCATCAGAACAGCATCAGAATGACATCAGAACGACATCAGAACAGCATCAGAACGCATCAGAACGACATCAGAACACATTAGAACAGCATCAGAATGACATCAGAACAGCATCAGAACAACATCATAACAGCTTAAGAAGGGCATCAGAACAGCATCATATCGACATCAAACGCATCAGAACGACATCAGAACAGCATCAGAACGACATCAGAACAGCATCAGAACGCATCAGAACAACATCATAACAGCATCAGAACGGCATCAGAACGGCATCAGAACGACATCAGAACAGCATCAGAATGCATCAGAACCGCATCAGAACAGCATCAAAACGTATCAGAACGGCATCAAAACGACATCAGAACGCATCAGAACCGCATCAGAACGGCATCAGAACGGCATCAGAACGACATCAGAATGCGTCAGAATGCCCCTCTGACCCGCAAACACCACGAACTCAACCAGACAACATTAGAAGAGCAGCAGAAACTAAAAGCATTAACTATTTAAAAATGAAAACATTTGTTCAGAGCAATATAAGCATCAAATAAACCACAAAGTTGAGAACAAACGTTAGTGGCTGATGAACAGAGGAAGTAAACAGCAGGAACAAGCAGAACAACACGGAAACTAAAAGTGATAAAACAAAAGCTGAGGCTGATCAGCAACAGATGGAGAATCTAATCTTTTCTTTGTCTGCTGTGATCGCCATTATCAACTTCTTCACCAAAGTGAAGCAAAACTTTCTTTCATTTTCTCCATCCAGTCTGTGTCGTGGTTTAGCTTGAGGATCCAACAGAGAATCGATCAACAGGAAAGTTTGAGAGAACAGAATGAAAACCAGAGCCACCGAACATAAACACACAGTTTCATATCTATACGCAGCATTCTCCTTCATTCAGTTTGCTCCCCTATTTCTGTACCATTAGCATCTTCCTCTAAGGAGTTCCCACACCACAGCCTCCACCAATCCATAACTCCATCAATCCATAACTCATCAATCCATAACTCATCAATCCATAACTCATCAATCCATAACTCATCAATCCATAACTCCATCAATCCATAACTCATCAATCCATAACTCATCAAGCCATAACTCATCAATCCATAACTCATCAATCCATAACTCCATCAATCCATAACTCATTAATTCATAACTCATCAATCCATAACTCATCAATCCATAACTCCATCAATCCATAACTCCATCAATCCATAACTCATCAATTCATAACTCCATCAATCCATAACTCCATCAATCCATAACTCCATCAATCCATAACTCATCAATCCATAACTCCATCAATCCATAACTCCATCAATCCATAACTCCATCAATCCATAACTCATCAATTCATAACTCCATCAATCCATAACTCCATCAATCCATAACTCATCAATCCATAACTCATCAATCCATAACTCATCAATCCATAACTCCATCAATCCATAACTCCATCAATCCATAACTCATCAATCCATAACTCATCAATCCATAACTCCACAAATCCATAACTCCACTGTTAGATATTTTTTAACATTATCATTTTGTTGTTACTTTAGTTTATATTCAGTCTAAAGTATTATTGTGATTTAGTATAAACTGACCTGGAGGTTACAACTGTCTTCATGCGAGATAGTAAAACTTTATGGTTCTCAGACCCTAAAGTTTTCTCTGGTGTTTATCTACCCGGTCTTAGGTGACAGTTTGACCCAGAGCTGAACTGGGCTCAGATTGTAAATTAGATATCACACCTGGAACTGAGTTGTTGGTCTGTTTGTGTTAAATGTTTTACAACCTCTGTTGTTTGAGGCTTTGACAATAAAGAGGGAGCTCACGTGAAAGCAGATCAGAACTCTCTTTTGACCAGCCCGGAGGGGCTGTTGATCGGGATTTCTCCTTCTGCAGAAGCCTGACCATATTTAATTCATATACGTTGTCTGTGGTTATTTTATTGTAGGTTCGAGGAAAATACCTAACATTTATTGGTGCCGAAACCCGGGATCTCTCAACCCCCCGCTGTCAGGCAGAGGAAGACGCGCTGAATCCGTGCACGGCCAGAGTCATTTGGAGACCTGGAAAGAAAGACCCAGGAAGTGAATTCTTCGCTGGGCCAGCGACACATGTCCGACTTTGTCTGTCAACGGCGGAGTGACGAGATCCGACTGGACAACTTGAGAACTACGAAAACGTAGGTGAATTAAATGGTTATTTATTATTTATTATTATTTTTTTTTTTTTTAAGGTGTGAGAATCCTTGTCAAATGGCGTTTTGACTAAAGCTCTGAGGTTTGAGAATCCTTGTCAAATGGCGTTTTGACTAAAGCTCTGAGGTTTGAGAATCCTTGTCAAATGGCGTTTTGACTAAAACTCTGAGGTGTGAGAATCCTTGTCAAATGGCGTTTTGACTAAAGCTCTGAGGTTTGAGAATCCTTGTCAAATGGCGTTTTGACTAAAACTCTGAGGTGTGAGAATCCTTGTCAAATGGCGTTTTGACTAAAGCTCTGAGGTTTGAGAATCCTTGTCAAATGGCGTTTTGACTAAAGCTCTGAGGTTTGAGAATCCTTGTCAAATGGCGTTTTGACTAAAGCTCTGAGGTTTGAGAATCCTTGTCAAATGGCGTTTTGACTAAAACTCTGAGGTTTGAGAATCCTTGTCAAATGGCGTTTTGACTAAAACTCTGAGGTGTGAGTGCCCTTGTTAAACGATGTTTTTAACTAAAACTCTGAGGTGTGAGTGCCCTTGTTAAACGATGTTTTTAACTAAAACTCTGAGGTGTGAGTGGCTCCTTGTCAAATGGTATTTTGGCTAAAAATCTCAGTCTTGTTATTACTATATGTCATTGCTGGTTTGTGTGCTGCTTTGTTGATGTGTGCGTATGCGTGAAAGACTGTGTGGAGGTTTAAATACGGCTCTGTATTTTACCTCATATAAAACAGTAGGGGGTAAGCAGCAAACCTCTTGTGGATGCAGAGGCAAGATTCTCCCACTCGAAAGAGTTGAAGTGGAGAATACCACAACAAGGTATTTTTAATTGCTGGCCTACTGAAAAGATCTCCAGTTCATAGAACTCCCTAGGAGTTAACAAAACTGGACTAAATTTTAAATGAATAAAAATTTGAAGCCAAAACTGCAAGTGATTTGTATAATGGAAAATGCAAATTCGTGTAATTCCTCACTCGTTGAGGGCCCCGATGGGGATGAGAAATACATGCTGTCCAGATTTCCTGGTAGCATGGTATACATAAATAAAAATAAAAAAAAAATGGAAAAAGAAATATAAAATAGATGGGAAGCTAAAAAATTGATCAATGGAAAAAAAAAAAATTGGAGGCTCGTCCGGGATTCCTTACACACCCGCCGCTGACGGAAGGAGTATGACGCGCTGAAATCTACCGGTAGTCAGGTTCTGCGGACCTGTTTTGAAAAGTCCCGGGGGGTAACTTCCTCGCTGGGCCAGCGTTTTAGGTCACCTCCTTCTGCCAGCAGCAGATTGCCGGAATACAAACCGAGAAAGAGCAGGAATCAACCAAGTACTGGACTAAATAGAAGAAATATGGTATAGATGGCGTGTTGAAAGTAAAACAATTGAAAAACGTGGTGTGTAAACTGGAAACAAGCGCTAGTTCGAAAAGTGGTACCAGACATCAGGAAAATATTGGTTGTTGTTAGAGCCTAACATAAGTTTGAGATATCTCTTTTTAAATGTGCACATTATTTAAAACAGGATCCTGAAAAACACTGTTTAAGGAAGAAAATAAATAAATTAAAACATGAAAAATGTTAACCAAAAATATTGGAAAGTTTCTGAAGCTTCAGTAAAATTTAATAAAATTAAGTATAATTTGCTAAACAATTTGAGTAAAGCAAAAAGATGACTCTTTTGTGTGACTATGGTGCATGTAGGACACCTTGTAGAGAATCGGTACTAAACTTAAATAAAAGAGATGATTAAAAGCAACTACAGAAAGAAGAGAGGGTTGCAAATAAAATAAGAAAATAAACATAAGAAATAATCAGAACAAAACAGAAAAAGCAACAAGTATGTTTATTTAGACTAGAGCATAATGAAGCTGCAGGGAGGAGTTGCAATCCTGTTTACAACAGCAGCTCTGCAACTTCTACCCCCACTAGATCCAATTGACCACCATATGAGACCTCATCACAACACTAGTCTATGTTAAGGAGAGTAACAAATTTAGAAATAAGCAATAGAAGACTCCCAAATCTTAAAATTAGGTGAAATAAAAACATATTCTATGGTACAACCCTAATGGAGCAACAGATCAGTCTCCACATGTGTAAGGTTTTCATCCTTGACAGTTGGAAAACAGAACAATTAGGAGTTTCTCCAGAAATCCTTATTAGCTCTCTTTCCTGCCATAAAATCACCCCCTCCAAGAGGTGAAGGAAAATTCATGAGGTGGAGGTGAGGATTTGTCTTGTGGTCTGACAATAGAGATTACTCAGACTAATGGAGTGACCTTAAATGTAAATTGTGAAAACTAAAACTGCAAAGGATTTAAATAACCTTTTTCCGTAAGGAATAGAACTTGTTTTTCAATCTTATAGTTTTGTTCGAAACCAAAGGTTATAGGATGTTGTAGTGATGTTGCTTATTCTCACATAAGGCAGGTTATGATGCAACTTTAGTTTCTAAATTCAGGGAGTGGATCTGTTGAGAAACCTTAATGACTTTTCTTTGAAACAAAGGCCCCTCTTAAGGAGTTAAGATGCAAACTGGCCACAAAGTTCATTTATTGGATTCTCCAAAAGACATTACAGCTCTTAATGTTTTTTTTTCTGTGTTTGGGAAAGCAAATGCTTTAGGTGTAATAAAAAAGATAAGCGAAGTTTTAAACATTTCACAACTGAAAAGAAACTAATTATGATGTTCTTTAAACTATAAAGTGAGCCTGTGTTGCTTATTGACCTGTTAACATACAGGAATTATTAAGTCAACAAAGAATATCCCCTAATAAAATACTTTAGTAAATACTATAAAGATAAGCTGCAGTGGTGAGAGAAGAAGTAAATTATTTGGGACATACACTTTCTGCTGAGGGAAAGCAGATACAAAAAGCAAGGAAAGAGACAATTTCTGAAGCACCTAAACCAGAAACTAAAAAGCAAATGATGTCATTTCTCGGACTTTGCAATTATTGCAGAGCCTGGATTCCACATTATGCTGAAAAAAAAAACTCAGGTTTTACAGGATTTGATTCATGGCACCCCAATGGCCATGACTGATAAAATAACTTGAAATCCAGAAGCTGAAAAAAGTTTTACTGAATTAAAACAAGCACTGATGCAGGCAACAACTTTGATTCTTCCAAATTAGAAAAAAACCTATGTTCAAACTGTAGACTGCAGGAATGGATTTATGACCTCTGTGTTACTACAAAATCATGGTGATAAGCTAAAACCGTTAGCTTTCTATTCAAAAAGGTTAGATCCAGTAGCACAGTCTTTACCAGACTGTGTACAAGCAATATGTGTAGCAGCATTAGCAGTAAGCATGTCGGCTGACATAGTTTTATTTCACAAAATGGAGCTGTTGGTTCCACACGCTGTAGATGTTCTATTTTTGCAGAGCAAAATGAATTTGCTCTCACCAGCACGACACCTTTCGTACACGGCAATACTTTTATCACAACCACATATTGTGATAAAACGTTGTACAATTTTGAATCCAGCTACGTTGCTTCCATTACCTTGTGATGGAACGCCACATAGCTGCCTAGAAGCTACAGAGCACTTGCAGCTTCCTAGGCCAGATCTACAGGACACCCCATTAGCAACGGGAGAAGTCTGGTTTGTTGATGGGTCATGTTCAAAGGACCCTATTGGTAAAAAACCAGACAGGTTATTCTGTTGTTGCTTTACCAAATGAAATAATAGCAGCAGAAAGAATTTCCAGCGCTTATTCTGCACAAGCAGCTGAATTGATTGCTTTGACAAGGGCATGTGAATTGGCTGAGGATAAGCACTTGACAGTGTTCACAGATAGCCAGTATGTTTTCTCTACACTGTTTTATTTTGCTAAACAATGGGAGCGTAGAGGAATGACAACATCTACTGGGAAACCAGTAACACATGCATCTTTGCTTAAAAATCTTTTGCAAGCAATACAACTCCCCATTAAACTAGCGGTATGTAAATGTGCAGCTCACACAAAAGGACAAGATGAAGTTTCAAATGGGAACAGACTAGCTGATAAAATTGCAAAAGAAGCTGCAGCAGGGAAGCATGGGAAAGGAACTTTCTCAGCGCAGACTGAAGAAGAACAACACATGATAGACAAAGCAGTGTTAAAAGACATGCAGGACAACGCACCGCAAGTTGAAAAAAGGATGTGGATAACTAAGGGTGCGAAAATTAATGATGAGAAAATTTTTGAGGTTAATGATAAACCAGTCCTTCCTAAATCTTTATTTAAAGCAGCAGCAATATTGAGCCATGGTGAATCTCATGTCTCAACAGGGGGGATGGTAGGAATGCCATATGGCTTTATGGTTTTAAATTCCTATTCAAAAAAAATTTTTTGTAGGGCATGTCTAATATGTGCTAGACATAAGTCTCAGGGAAACATAAGGCCCAAACGAGGCAGGTTCCCAAAACCATCTTATCCATGTCAAACCATGCATATGGATTTTATTGAACTTTCACAAAGTGGGTCATATAAATATTGTCTAGTGATGATTGATGCTTTTCCTAAATGGGTTGAAATAGTTCTAGCAAAGCATGCAGATGCTTTGACAGTAGCTAAGGCTATTTGTAAAACTATTATCCCAACACATGGCATCGCGCTAACTGTTTATAGAACGAATAGTACTGTGAAAAGCAGATTAAGAAAATACACGGCAGACACTAGCCGGCTCTGGCCAGAATGGTTAGATTTGGTGAAACTCTATATGGGGATCACCCCGACAGCTGATGGTCTAACACCTTTTGAAATAATTCATGGGAGAGCTTACAGATTGCCTCTGTTTGCTCCAGACTTACAAAAAGCTGATGAAGAACAGACATTAGCAGATTATATGATCAGGACCCTTAAACTGAAGGAGGTGTCCAGTGCAAATTTACTGCCTTTTGATTCTCTTCCTGCACAGGAGGCCGCTCCGATCGAGCCAGGTGACTGGGTCTACATAAAAGTCATCAAACGAAAGAAACTGGGCGAGTCCACAGTGGGAAGGACCGTTCAAGTGCTGATGACCACACCAACAGCTGTAAAGATTGCTGAAAGACCCAGCTGGATACATCTCAGTCACTGTAAGCTGCAGAGAGTGTTAAACCCCTAAAGTTGGAGTAGAGAGGAAGGAGAGCTCTTTTGAGAGCTTCCGGGCTACAAAGGGGAGCTACATTATAGTTGTAGTTCGTCTCAAACCCGGTGAAGAAACGCTAAGATTCTCACTCCTTTAGTTTGGGGGTTCTGACATCTCTGTACGTCAAGCAGCAATGGGGACTCCATATGACAGATGGATTTTCTGCTGCGCTGTGACTGTTGTATGTTTGATGTTTGGTGAAGGAAGCGAGCCTGAGTTCCACCCACATGACTACAGTACCAATCTTTGGCTGAAAACTGATGAACAGAACTGCCTATGAGGGACATGCTGTGAACTGCTACGTGTGTGCGCAGCTGCCAGTTTCCATACACAACTCAGGTCTCCGACCAGGTAACATTGCTGACGACAAACAGATGTGTCTCTATGTTCTAAGCACTAGACCGCGGCATATCCCACCACCAAGGGGAGACAGACCACGTGAGAAGGACTATTCAGCTGACCTCCGGATGGGAGAGGCAGTGCAAGGACTGTTTCAATGTTTAAATTGTTCACTGGCAGACGATGTACTTCCTTTTCGTCATCTCAACAAACTGTATGGAAAATACCAGAGATCATTTCGTTGGCAGGAGCCAAACCAGGATCTCTGAGGATCTGTGTGTATAATAATGGACATGTTGTTCTAGGGACGTTGCCCTGGCACTTGTGTAACAGAGTTTACACCTACTGCGAACCGACACAGGATTTCATCGACTGCACAGCCTGCAGGGGTCAAAGGGCGACTCCACACTGCAAAGTCTGGAAGGAAAACCCAGATTGTCACAACCTACTTCAGAGGAGTTTCAACATCACGCATAAGACTAAGAGGAGACAAATGACAACACTGTGCAGCGCCATAGTGCCAGGAGATTATGGCTCTCAGATATTAGCAGACTGGAAAGCACAAAATGATCTACACACCCGCTCCAAGCGAACAGCTATGCCAGAGGTCAAAAGATGGGGAGGCCTAAGAACACATACTGGAGTTCCATGGGAATTCAGGATTTGGAACGGCGGAGAAAAAATTTATGCAAGGTCTTTTTCCGTGGGTTGGTCTAGGAGAGATTCGAGACCATGTTGAGATAAACAGGTACGGATTATTACGACTGATCAACATCACATACCAGCTGGCCAATGGCACCATGAAAGAACTGACTGAACTGAGAAACATGGTTATGCAAAACCGTGTTGTCCTGGACTGTCTCACTGCCCCTCAGGGAGGGGTCTGCAAAATCATTGGCCCAACGTGCTGGAAGATTTAAAACAGTTGTATTATTCCTTGTCTACGAAATATGATATTTAAAACAATTAACACGACTGTTATTAAATATCAGCTGACAAAGGCATCTTATGAAACAACTGAAGATGACTTGTTCCAAGTTTCTGACGATTTTCTGAACAATGATGAATTTCTGTAATCAATAAACAGATGAATTCATTTGCTGAATGACTCCTACACCGAAAATGTGGGAACAAGTGACGTTTAGGATGAGAAAACTGCATTTGATTTTTTACTGTTTATTCTTTTGTTTTTTCATGTATTTCATTATATAACTTTTATTAATTATGTATTCTCTGTGTTTAGATTAGTTTTTTATTATTTTCTTTTATTTTATTTTCTATATTTGGCTTCTGCATAGCAGTTTATACACATAGTAAAATGATAAAAAGGGGGAATGTTAGATATTTTTTAACATTATCATTTTGTTGTTACTTTAGTTTATATTCAGTCTAAAGTATTATTGTGATTTAGTATAAACTGACCTGGAGGTTACAACTGTCTTCATGCGAGATAGTAAAACTTTATGGTTCTCAGACCCTAAAGTTTTCTCTGGTGTTTATCTACCCGGTCTTAGGTGACAGTTTGACCCAGAGCTGAACTGGGCTCAGATTGTAAATTAGATATCACACCTGGAACTGAGTTGTTGGTCTGTTTGTGTTAAATGTTTTACAACCTCTGTTGTTTGAGGCTTTGACAATAAAGAGGGAGCTCACGTGAAAGCAGATCAGAACTCTCTTTTGACCAGCCCGGAGGGGCTGTTGATCGGGATTTCTCCTTCTGCAGAAGCCTGACCATATTTAATTCATATACGTTGTCTGTGGTTATTTTATTGTAGGTTCGAGGAAAATACCTAACACCACCAATCCATAACTCATTAATTCATAACTCCACCAATCCATAACTCATCAATCCATAACTCCATCAATCCATAACTCCATCAATCCATAACTCATCAATTCATAACTCCATCAATCCATAACTCCATCAATCCATAACTCATCAATCCATAACTCATCAATCCATAACTCCACAAATCCATAACTCCACCAATCCATAACTCATTAATTCATAACTCCATCAATCCATAACTCATCAATCCATAACTCCACCAATCCATGACTCCACCAATCAATAACTCCATCAATCCATAACTCCATCAATCCATAACTCATTAATTCATAACTCCATCAATCCATAACTCATCAATCCATAACTCCACCAATCCATAACTCCATCAATCCATAACTCATCAATCCATAACTCCACCAATCCATGACTCCACCAATCAATAACTCCATCAATCCATAACTCCACCAATCCATACCTCATTAATTCATAACTCCATCAATCCATAACTCATCAATCCATAACTCCACCAATCCATAACTCCACCAATCCATAACTCCACCTATCCATAACTCCACCAATCCATAACTCATTAATTCATAACTCCATCAATCCATAACTCATTAATTCATAACTCCATCAATCCATAACTCATCAATTCATAACTCCATCAATCCATAACTCCATCAATCCATAACTCATTAATTCATAACTCCATCAATCCATAACTCATCAATCCATAACTCCACCAATCCAGACTCCACCAATCAATAACTCCATCAATCCATAACTCCATCAATCCATAACTCATTAATTCATAACTCCATCAATCCATACTCATCAATCCATAACTCCACCAATCCATAACTCCACCTATCCATAACTCCACCAATCCATAACTCCATCAATCCATAACTCATCAATCCATAACTCCACCAATCCATAACTCCATCAATCCATAACTCATCAATCCATAACTCATCAATCCATAACTCCACCAATCCATGACTCCACCAATCCATAACTCATCAATCCATAACTCCACCAATCCATAACTCATCAATCCATAACTCATCAATATTCTCTTGGTGGATGTTTCTGATGCAGTTATCTGAGGGAAGGACCAGGATTTAATCTGGAAGTTGTGAGGATGAAGCCATTTGCTCTGCGGCCCTTCAGTGAGTCTCCTGACTGAAATCACCGTCTTCCTGTTGTCTGAAACTTGAGTTGTTTCTCTATTCACATCATGGCAGCTTCCTGTTCATCACTCCGATATTTCACACAGACCAGGCTGCATATTTATGAAATATACCAGACTCCTCAACAAAAGACAGAAACTCTCTAAGGTTCTTGGTAACAGCTGGTCTCTGATCCACCCTGAAGGAAAACTTTACCTCCTTAATCCTCCTGATTTCTATAGAAACTGTAAGGTTCATTGGTGGATTTTAAATATCTTCCAGAGTTTTGGTGTTAGCTTATAAATAATGTTATTTTCATGTAAAGACTTTTAAAAATCCTTCCTTTTAATACATTTTCAAGCAGTTATTATTTTAACAAGACCTGTGCTGCCTGTGGTCTATTAGTTATCCTTTGTGGTTCAAAGGACCATAAGGGTCCTTTGAACCATAAAGGTTCATAAATGTTTTACTAACATGAATCATTTAACAACATTTGACTAAAACACAGAAGATGCAAACTAATTTAACAGAATCTATGTAGATTGGAGTCAAATACATGAAGTTTGCTTCTTTAGTGAATTATAAACATATGTATATGTGCATTTACCACCAGAGGGCAGTAGTGTATTGGAAACATTTAACACGTAATCTTCCAGTAAAATCAAACTGAAGTAAAGTTTAGAATTTATTTAAAACTTAAGTGACTCTTTACTTCTTTATTTAAAACTGAAACACTTTACCTCTGTGTTTTTGTTTCAATTAGTTGAATTTCTTTATTAATTATCAATTATTAATGTGTTTTTCTTGTTTATTTCAGATTTCACTGTGAGCCGTGACGTGCAGTCAATAATGTATCATGATGAAATAATTTATATTGCTATTTTCACCCTGTTATTTGCACTATAAAGTACCTATTTTAAATTTAGGTTAACTAATTCTGATCAATTTTTCTTCAGAATTGCAGAATTTTCACATTTTCCCGTTCAAATGCTTGGAAGCAAAGCAGGTGAGGCAGCAGCGAGCTGAGCCTCACCTGGCATTGCGCAACATCTCACGAACTGCTCTGGCTGCCATGAGAGCATGCTCCTCCTGTCTGTATGTTACCAATAAAATGGCTAAAAAGCATTTCATGTATGAACTGATTTTCCACAATTTAGCTTATTTATATAATGTACAGTGTTATATGTCACCATCTGTGTGTGTAACGTGCTTCATGTCCAGTGTTGTATAGTAACGAAGTAAAAATACTTCACTACTTTACTTAAGTATATTTTGGAGTACTTCATACTTTCCTCGAGTATGAAAATTTTTGATAACTTTCACTTTTACTTCACTACACTTCCGAACTTAATTGCATACTTTTACTTCGATACATTTTCTTTTTTTTGAAAATTCTTTATTTAACAATATTATAAATCCAACATATATGTATGTGCACATTTATACATGCGCTTACATATTACCACAAGAGAAAGAAAGAAACAGAAAGAAATAAAAAAAATAAAATAACTAACAATAATAATAATAAAAAAGGATGGGGGGTGCTCAGCAAACAGTTACATTCCTTACAAAAGGCCTCGTCACGTGAAAGGGAGGTGTACATATCCGGTGTATTTCATTAAGAAAGAGAAATATACAAAGGGCGCTGACACATCTTTTTATAACCCATTAACATCTTTATCCATCTGTCCATCCACAGTGGGAAATAGCTGGGGTCCATATACTCAGAAACATGTCCATTTTTACATGAAGTTTTGCTCTTATCTTTTCCATGAAATACACATTCTTCAATCTTTCTTTCCATTGTTGAAGGGTGGGAGGTAAGGGCTTTAGCCAGGAAAGAGTTATCATTTTCCTTGCTACCAGTAACAGAATCTGTAATAACTGGGCTTCCTTTTTATCTTCTCTTAAGGTCAAACCTAGTATATAATGCAGTGGGTTCAGTGGTAATGTAAACTTAAATATTTCTTTGATTTCTGTCTGAATCCCCTGCCAGAATGGAATCAGCACTGGGCAGTCCCAAAAAATGTGAGTGTGATCCCCAATCTGATTTCAGCCCCTCCAGCACACATTTGTGGCGTTTCTGTCACATCTTGAAATACTGAAAGGTGTTTTGAAGAACCTCATTTTTAATTTCCAGTCAAATTCCTTCCATCCTGGGCTTTGGGTGATCTTAAAACCTTGTACACAGATCTCCTCCCACTCCTCATCTTCAATAACAATAGTCATTCTAGTTCCCACTTTTGCTTTATGTCTGTAGAATTGTTCGAGAAATGCATCTGTAAATGTTTATATAGATTAGATACAATCTTCCTGTTATTATGGTCCTTTACACATTTTATCAGAAACATTTCTACGGGTGATGTATTTTGTTTCAAAATACATCACATTGTTTCATTCTTTGTGTGATAAAAGATAATCCCTTAATTGTAGGTACTTATAGAAAATTTTTGAGCATAGTCCATATTTGTTTTGTAACTCCCCAAATGACTTAAGAGTTTCTCTACTGAATAACTGATTAACTCTTCTTAGTCCTTTCTGTGCCCATCTCTGAAACCCCGTATCCAGTTTGTTTGGAAATAAGTCAGTAATTTTAGCTATTTTTATTATGTGGGATATTGTTAAAGTTGCTCCCAATTTCTTCCTCACCAGAGACCAGACTCTATATGTACAGTTAATCCACTCATTTTCAATTTTTAAATCCTTCCAATGTTTTCCCTCCATAAATGGAATGGCTTCAGGAGGTACCAGTGGGCCTGCATTGTTCTCCAGACTGATCCAGTTTGTCTCCTCATCCTGTCCAAGCCACTCGACCGCAACACGAAGTTGTGCTGCCCAGTAGTACAGTTTCAGATTAGGCAGACCAAGGCCACCTTTTTCTCTGGACTTACAATAATTTCTGTCTGATTCTTGGTTTCCTCCTTTGCCAAATAAAGTTATTAATAATTTTATCAAACATGTTAAAAGTGGAGGGAGGTATCCAAATCGGGAGTGCCTGGAATAGGTACATTAACCGTGGGAGCAAATTCATTCTCACTGTTTCTATTCTGCCCAGAAGGGACAGAGGGAGAATCTACCATCTAGCCAAGTCTGATTTTATTTGTGTGATTAATCTGCTATAATTTCCATTAAATAGTTGTGAAGTTTGTGGTGTAATCATCACACCTAAATATTTGAATCCCCTCTTGGACCAGTTAAAGGTGACCTCTTTATCTAAACCAGTCGGCCATTTCCCCACCAACATCATAGCTTCTGACTTGGTTTCGTTAACTTTATCACCTGAGAATTCTCCAAAATCTTTTAAACAAGTCATAAGCCAAGGCATCGAGCTCAGAGGATTAGAAATATACAAAATAATGTCATCCGCATAAAGCAAAATTTTATGGGTGACTCCACCTGCTGTTATTCCATGAATTCTAGAATCTGTCCGTATTATTTCTGCCAGGGGCTCGATACTAATGGCAAATAGTAGAGACGAGAGGGGACATCCTTGCCTAGTTCCTCTTTTTAAACCAAATTTCTTTGAGGAGCATCCATTCACCCGTACTTTGGATGTGGGTCCAGAGTATAGCACCCCAATCCATTTGATAAAGTCTCTATGAAATCCCATTTCTGCCAGTGTGTGTTTCAGATACTGCCAGTCCACCCTATCAAATGCCTTCTCAGCATCAAGGCTGAGAAGCATTGAAGGATCCTGCTTTTGTCTTCCTACAGAGATCACATTTAAGGTTCTCCTAATCTTATTTATCCCTAAGCGTCCTGTTATAAACCCTGTTTGGTC